AAATTAAGAGTCTAGTTGTTAAAATTAGTACTTTACGTCAATCTATGATTTTTAATATTAACATCTTAGTGTCAGATTATGAGTTTTATATACATGTAAGTATGTGTGTACGTGTGCACCGCACATACACACACATAAACACACACGCTATCCATCTACTTTACAAGGCTCAACTTTAAGGTGTGTTGTTGCTGCTCGTTGCCAAATTGGCTTTGACTCCTGGCAGTCCCAGGTGTGCAGAGGAGGCCTGCTCCATAGGGTCTCCAAGGCTGTGACCTTTTGGAGACCACCAGGCCTATCTTCCCAGATGCATCTCAATGGGTTTGAACCACTGCCCTTTCAGCCAGTAGCAGAATGCTTAACCATTTGATTTGTGCTCAGGCACCCAGGGACGCCCTTTACGATGGATGAGACAGGAAATATGTATTTAGCATTTTATGGGAGATCATGTTGACAATACTATTCATTTTCAAAAGTTACAAATACGACTCTCAGATAAATATAAAAAAACCTAAGTCAAAGATTTTATTCAACTTAATGAGGAAACCAGTAAGATGCTAAGACTGGTTCAAAAGACAACCTGAGCATGAGGAGATTTACAGCTGGCCCATCAAAAGAATGCAGAAATAAATTTGCTAGTAAATGTAAAACTGGTTCACATCCCACCCAGGCAATAACCTCTGCAATGCTACTGGCCAAGAACCACTGGCATTGGTATCCATTTCCTACAAGCTGACCTGTACCTCTGAGTTACGGAACAGCCTTCCTAATCATAAGAAAATGGTACATACCCCTAGATAGTCCCCAGGCACTGCAGCCGACCAGACAACACCCAACACAATGGAAAGGGTGCTCCGTATTCTCGCCCCTATTTCCATGCTTTGCAGTCTTGCTCCTGACACTGATACCTAACAGGTATCAAAACAAACTAACCTGCTTTATGTACGACATAGCTATAATCAGATGCAAGCCAGGAGACACAAACCATGGTCCCCAACAGTCATCAAGGGCTTGGAAGTCAGCCTCCCTGGGCTCCACCATTTGCTCCTGGATGTATCTAGACAAATTACTTAACCTCTCTGTGCTTCTGTTTCATCACTGTAAAATAGCTACTAATAGCACTTACTTTAGGCTTTGTTATGAGGATTAAATGAGATAATACAGAAGTGCTCAGCAAATGAGTTATATTACTACTAAGAAAGGTTCATTATCCTACCAAAGTCTTTACTGAAGACATTAAAACATTTTGAGAAATAACCTTACACCTTGTTAAAAAGGGATACAGTTCCACATTTTAAGGCAGAAGCAAACATAATTAAATCATTAAAATGAGTCAATTAGCAATTAAGAGATTACAATACATTCCAGATGCATCAAAAGGAGAAATCACTTTTTCCACCTCTGACATTAAGGAAACAAAAATGTATGAGTGGAGGGGTGGCAGGAAACCACCTTTGTTAAGATGTCTCAGGCACTGTGCCTACCCACACTCATCACATACCAACAAATGAGCATTTTTGGAAGAAGAATCTTTTTTTTTCCATCTTCTTTTAAGGAGATACGCTACAAAATGAAAAGCAGCAAGGGCAAAACGACCGCAAGAAAAATACATGGAAGCCTTAGAAATGCATGATGAAGCAAGTCAACCATCAAAAGCAGTGGTCCAAAGATCACTTCCACTTTTAATAATTTATTCTGCATAACCAAAAAGAAAAAAATATCCTCTGAATGTTACATTACATTTACCAACACATTGCTGGTAACATACATCCTTTGTTATTTGGTAACATACGTACATTGTTATTTTTACTTTGCCCATAAAATGTTATGGGAAATATTGAATAATATACATTTTCTTAAAAACACACAAATACACAACTCTGTTACAATTGATATAAATCAGTTGTCTCCCTCACACTCAAATTTTGACCAAAACACCCTTAAATTAAAAACCATAGTCATGTAGGCCACCAAAAGCCCAATTATAAGATGGTAAGCTAAGTGCTGAAGTTCAAAATTAGACAGGAAATAGCTACAAATCAAAACAGGAAGCAAAATAATGAAGAAAAATGACAATCCCTATCAGAGCCTGGATACATTTTTATATATTCAAGCCTGAGAAAAGCATTTTCCTAAAACATTGGGTTTTCTAGGTTAAACTGAACACAAGAGAAGGAAATTTCCCTAAAGAAGTTTTCTGAGCCAAGGGAAAATCAAATTATAAAACCAAAGCAAAGCCCAACAACGTCTCCTCCCTCCCACCCTTCTTTAGATTTGCTTGAGTTCAGGTTTTGCTGTTGAAGGCCATTCACTCATTCTTTGCTCTCCATTGTCTCAACACGACCAAAGCTGGACTTAACCCTCCACGTCACAACCGTCACAACCGTCACAACTGGCTGATGGATGAGACAATGACTGCAGTCCCTCAAGAGCTGGGAAGCTGCATGCTGCATGCACTCACACGGAGACAGACCTTCAGTCCACACGCCTCAGAGGAAAAACACTAACTGCCAAAAAGAACATTATTTATTGCAACCCTTAAAAATGATTTCTTCTTGTATAATTTTAAGATAAATAACATGATTTAAACAAAGAAAACCGAAAAAGATTTCCCATAGTATTTCATGTTCAAATTCTTTATGCAAAAACTTATAAAACAGAAGAGTAACATTGGTCTAGCTTTTAAAAAAAGGTTTTAAGAAACCTAAAAATGAGGTCTTAAGTAAATTAGATATTCTTTTAAAAGAAAAAGCAAAATTAATGATACTAGAGAATAATGGAATGAATACATTAGTTCTGCAGCTGTGAACGTTTCTAGCTCCTTTACCAGAGTCTTAGATAAAAAACTTGTAAGTACTTGATGAACGTATTAAAAGCTTTGCGCAACTGGAAATACATTAGGATACATTAGTTTAGTTGGAAGAAAGAGTGGCAGTGAGAGCCTGTGGCCCGTAATGACCATTTTTAGTTCATCAGAAACTCTCTCTCCTAATTCCAATGGGCAAGAACTAGTGTACCTGTCTGCAGGTGTCTACCAGGTACAACAACAAGCAGCAGAATTCCAGAGCCAAGGGACATGGGTGCTAAATACAACTGAGACAGTTATCTATGCTGCACGAGATACCTAGACCTGTTCAAAATGGTGGCTAGAAAAACAACTCATAAAGCTTTTTAGGAAAACTGAACTTGGAATGAAATTCTTACATGGACTTTAAGATTTCCATTTCATATAATAATACAATGAAAGGCAGGTGGACGCAATTACACAAGAAAAAACCAGAAATTATATGCTATGAACAGAAGAGCCAAGATAGGTAAAACAATTAGAACAGCTACTAGTACCATCTGAAGTGGTATGTCTGTTTTAATGTATTTTTAACTCTGATTCTTCCATAAAGAAAGAAACACCAAAGTGAATGTTAATATTTACACTCAATGTTTTTGTTTTCCATTCTAGACGATAAACTTTTAATTTTGGAATAAAATTAGGAGCCAGATCTTTATTCTACCTTAAACTAATTTTTGTTTCTTCTCTTCTGCCTTCCCCTCCAAATTCCTTTGCAGAGTTCTATTAACTGATCGGGTTACTGACAGTCCACAATTCATTCCCCCAAGTATCCTTGTATTGAATTAAAACCCCATACATACTGTTAAATACTAAAAAAACCTAGAAGCCAATATGAGAGAAACAGCTTGGAAATGCCAGCTAAAAACACTTTTTGTTCAAGACAAGTGTGAGCTACATGGTCCACTGTATATTCTAAGTTCATCAGTGGGACAAACAAAAAGATGGCTGACACAGTGACAAGTTAAACTGTGTGACACGGCCAGCAGCACTATGTTTTCATCAGTGCTTGAGGTAGGAAATGTACTACTTATTACTAAAGAATGAATCCACTTAAATTAATAATGCTTAGATGTAAAAGTGTTAAAACTGCACCAAGATGCTATGAGTGTCGTGTAGTTTGTTGAACAAAATCAATCAGAAGGTTTAGAATGAGACTTTCTTTATGGAAGCTTTTAATTTATTTGACACACTGATCTTCCATTTGCTTATAGTCCTTTTATCTCAACTCAAGCAGGAAAATCAAAGCGTGACAGCTCTGTGGGTCACTCACTTGCTCACATTAGAGCTCTCCTGCAGAGACAATGCGAGTAGTGGAGAATCCAAAACAGGGTGAGCTTGTGTTGTTCCCAAGGGACCCAATGCTAGTGGTTCTAGCACACGGGGAGAGGGTGGGAAAAGAGGAAGTCTTAGGAGATGCCCTAAGTAGCCATTTGGCCTTAGAGCTCTCTCGGGTTTTTAGGAGGTTAGCTATCTGTAAAAACTAAGTATCCTAAGGGCTCCTTCACTCACACCATCAAATTTTGTAAACAGGTAATTTATTTTATGTTTTAAAAACACTGGTTTTCAACAATCAAGTTATAGTTCATGCTACACAAATTTAAGTGATTAGAAAACCAATGTAGAGGTGGCTGTCTTATTAATAGGAGGCAGCCCCCATGTATTTTTCTTAGAGGCAGACAGATGGAAGAAATGGGCCAATGAGCACAATGTGGGGAGAGAACTAGTTGGGGACTGGAAAGAGATGCTTCCTTCTCTGTCTCCCAGAGGCCCCTCTGCAGGCCGAGCGGGAGAACATGATTACACACTTCTCAGTGTGTTTAAGAAACACGTATTTCTGCTCGTTTCAAAAATAGTCCTCTAAAAATACTTGTAGAAACTTAATCTGATGCTGACACATGTCACTTTAACATGAACTATACTACAACCAGGCATATACACTGCAGGGAGGGAAGAGAGCAGACATGGGAAAGTGAAAATGCTGCAAAGTTCAGAGAAGACTCTTGGCTTCTGTTTCACTGACCTAGGAAACAGACCAAAGAATCATTAAAATCACTGGAAGGGAATAGAAGGCTGAGCGAGTAATTAATAATGACCTATACCAGCTGGCAAAGGGCCATTAGACAGCACAGTCGGGGGACATGAGAACTATTGCTCATTTTTTCATCTTCTCTTTAGAGATAACTTCTGCATATGAGGTGTGAATGAAGTCATGAAGCTGCTTAGCATTTGCAGCATTCCCCAGAATACTTGTGAGTTTGTCTTGTGATAAGGTTGCTAATTCTGCTATGTTTTTAACGTGATGCATCAAGGAGCGGCAGTTTTTGGCATTCACCCCTGGCATTTTCAGCAAGAAGTCCTGGGGGCCGGGGCTATACTTCTCTGACTCGGGGAGGGTCTCGGAATCTGCTGTGACAGCCATGGCTGCCGCTGCATCAGGCTGTGGCTTATTCTGTTTCAGCTCCTCAAACAGCTCTGCAGTCGCGTGAGGGGAGGGGCACCAAAGGATCCGGAGCCTGGGGAAGTGCAGGGTCAGAAGCGTGAGTTTAGAACTGATGTCACTGCTGGAGATCTCCTGATGGAAGGCACCTCGGGACACGAGAGAGAAAGGCTTACTGGGGTCAAACTCGATCAGGAGCACTGGTCGCTTGTAATAGCGGGACATGGAGATGCACTGGCTATAGAGGCGGCCGTTATTCAAGGAGCCAATCAAATCACTGATGCTCTTGCGCTCCACGCACATTTCTGGAGTCAGAATGTAATCACCAACCTCCAAGGTCACTGGTTCAATGTCAATACCCCGGCGATGGATCAGAGAAGGCAGTTCACTTCGAAACTCACGCATGTCTACAACTATACTTTGCTGTGTATCACTCTGTTCCTGGCCACCTAAGAAGAAAAAGTAGCTTTTTAAGTAACATCACTCAGTAAGAAATCTCATAGAATGGAATATAACGAAGTTTAAAATCTGTATCCTTAACAACAAAAAGATAAACAACCCAAATGAAAAATGGTCAAAGGACTCGAATAAACATTCCTCCAAAAGATACACAAATGGCCATTAAGAACACGAAAGTTGCTCAAAGTCATTAGTCATTAGGGAGACCAAATCACTGAGACACCACTTCACACCCATTAGGATTGCTGTGATGAACAAAACAAAACAAAAAACCAGGACACAACAGGTATTGCCAAGGATGTGGAGAAACTGCTGGTGGGAATGCAAAATGGTACAGTCACTGTGGAAAACAGTTTAGCATTTCCAGAGAAGTTAAATATGGAATTACCATATGACCCAGCAAATCCAAATCCTACGTATAGATCCTAAAGAACTGAAAAGGAAGAATTCAAAAAAATACCTGCATGACAACGCTCACTGCAGCACAATTCACAACAGTCAAAAGGTGAAAACCACCTACAAGTCCATCAACAAATGAGAGGATAAACAGAATGTGGTCTATCCATACAATGTAATATTACTCAGCCCAAAATAGAAATGAAACCCTGATATACACTACCACATGGATGGACCTTGAAAACACCATGATGAGTGCAGTAAGTCAGCTGCAAAAGGTCAAATATTGTTACGATCTCACTTATATGAAATAAGCAAATATACAGAAACCAAAGATGACTAGCGGTTACCAATGGAAGCAGAAAGGAAAAGAAGGGGAGCTTCCACTTAGGAGGCACTGAGTCTGTACTAATGGTAGTAAAATGATTGGGAAAGGATAGCCAGAATTGGTGCAAGACCTGAAGAATGTAACCAATGTCAGTGAATTGTACATGCAGAAATTGTGGGGATGGTGTACGTTTTGTTACTATGTTTTCATCACAATGAAATTAACAAGTACATTCTGACTCTCCACCAGTGAGGACTTTGGAACATTACTCATTTCCAAAGTGCAGTGCCTGCAGTGTAACCCCACTGCTGTAACAGAGGAGGAACCTTAGGTCCAGGGAGAACCAAAGGTTAGTAAATGGCAGAGGAAATGAGACTATGGGAGCAGATGCCCTTTCCTGGGTCTGACACCCAGTCGTAAGAGTCTGTTGAGATGTATCAGGCCCCTGCCGAGTAGCTATGGGAGCTCGCAGTTCTTTGTGGGCGATGGGAGTGCCGGACAGAGGGTGAGGCTCACCTGCTTTCCGAGTGTTGGCGGGGACATTGGCTGACGTGCTGCCTCTTGCTAAGTCTTGGTTGGTTTCATCTCTGCCTTCTCTCTCTTCAGGGATGACCATGCTAGCCTTTTCCCTGGTGAAGAAAAACATTTAAAACATTCTTCAAACTCATTTCAAAATTCCAGATTTTTACCTTGTAAATTCTAATGTAGAAAATGATTTACAGATTATAGTAGCGGAAGAGTATGAAACACATCAGAAGTAAAGAAGCACAGACAAGTGACGGGTACAGGAAGCAGAGACTGTCTTGGCTGGGTACAACCTCCTCAAAAAGCCGAACGCAGAACTACCAGAAGACGCAGCAATGCCAATCTCAGAGCTACCTGAAGATACTCGATACTCTGATCTTCAGAATAAAAACAGGTGTTGATGATTTTTGATTCTAAATCAAGCACTTTGAGACATGAAGCAAGCATGTAAAAATCTGCCCAAAGAGACTGAGACTATTTATAAGACTAAAGTATTATTGAGATTAAAAGATAATTTAAGTAATTTATATTCAAATATTTCCAGGATAATCACAAATAAAACCAAAAGTATTATTGAGATTAAAAGATAATTTAAGTAATTTATATTCAAATATTTCCAGGATAATCACAAATAAAAACAAAAAACAAACTGTTGTTGTTGTTGTTTTGCTGTTGAGTTGGACCCAACTCATAGTGACCCCTTCTTGGGTTTTTCAGGAAGTATCACTACGGAAGTAGATTGCCCAACCTTTCTTCCCGAGGAGTGGCTGGTGGGTTTGAACCACCAGCCTTCTGGTTAGCAGTCAAGTGCCTTAGGCACTATGCCACCAAAGCTCCCCAAAAAAACAAAATAAGGATGGTTAAAAAATGAACGATTAAAAGAAACACACATATAAAAAAACTACGGCTGAAAAAATTCCAGGTGGGAGGCCTCTCTAGTTGCCTTTCAGTTCATTCTGACCCATAACAATCCTTTAAGAGGCCCCATTAAACATCTTCATTTTTAAAGGAAAAGTCAAGCTAATACAAGAAACCAGCTTTCTACCACAGATTTAAAATGATGATCCCCACTGCAGGTCATGTCTCAGGAACAGCTTTCATTGACTTACAAATATTTTTTTGAATGTTTTATTGTGGTTTGGGTGAAAGTTTACAGAGAATGTTGGTTCCCATTCAACAATTCACACAGAGATTTGTTTCCTGACTTTGGATGCAGTCCCCTCAATGTGTCAGCACTCTCCCACTCCCACCCTGGGTTCCCTGTTTCTATTCACCCAGCTTTCCTGCCCCTTCCTGCCTTCTGAATTTTGCTTTTGGGCAAATGCTGCCCTTTTGGTCTCTGATGGTTGACTGCTCAGAGGAGCACATTCCTCACAGGTGTTACTGTTGACTTTATAGCCCAGACTGCTGTTCGGCCGTAAAGTGGTTCAGTTCTGAGTTTGGAGGGTGTCTAAGAGCCATAGTCTTGGGGGTTCCACCAAGACATGTGTTTTTTAAAAAACACTTCTGAGTGCTCCCACATGTTGAGTGGGGTACTTTGGATAGGAATATGTTCATGCAATAATCCCTGCCTTCCAGGTATATTACACTTTGTGGATCTACAGCATCCTACAACCATAACAGAGACAAGTAGCTGGGAATGACAAGCATGACCACACCCTCAACAATCAAAGAAAGAGCAAGTCACGTTGTTACAGTCCTATTTTTTTAAAAAACAGGACATAGGGTATAATCAACTAATGAACCAACAGACACTACGGTACTGCAAGTGTCCAGTCTGCTTTGGAAGACAGAGAAGATGTGAGGCTGGGTCTCTTCTTTTAGGGAGCTTGCAAATGAGTGGAGGAAACAAAGCAACCATCAACAAGATTGTAGAACTAACTAATTGCAATAAAGGCATCAGGGTGAGGTGAAATAGTAGAGAAGGTATTCTTATATTAACAAATTTCAACGAGGTTTTAAACAACAAGATTTTCCCACTCAAGGAAATGTAACAAGGTGGAGTAACTTTCCAATCATTCTGGATAAAAGATATTTTAGAGCAATTTAGAGATACAACTAAAGAACAGAAATATAATTTGAAACGATACACATATGAAAACAGCATTAGTACATTTTATAGATAGTGTCCAAGAGGCCAGACAACAGCTCTAGTTCCACTGTTCCCTCATCAGTCTCACTACCAGTGTCAAGTGCTGCCTGCTGCAAAATTCTTTGCAACAGCACTGGCTCTGGTGGCCACTCATTACTGGTCCATTACATCTACTACACTCTATCTGGAAGGAGACCTGTGGTACAGTGGTTAAAGCACTCATCTGCTAACCGAAAGGTCAGTGTTTGAACTCACCAGCTGCTCCACAGGGGAAAGATGTGGCAGTCTGCTTTTGTACAGATTACAGCCTCAGAAACCCTATGGGGTGGCTCTGCTCAGTCTTATAGGGACACTGAGTCAGAATGAATTTAACAGCAATGGCTTTACACTCTATTTGAGGACAAAGGGTAAACCATTAAAAAAAATTATTGTTCTTAATGTTTAAAGCTTGGGACTATTTAGTTTATCATTTCTTTTGTCTTTCCTCTTTATTTTCCTTAATTTTACAAACTAAGCTACACATCACACATGAGGGCAGCCCAATTTCCTGATTTATCTGTAATTTGCTAGAGGCTGTATAGTGTAGCGGCATAGTGTCTAAGGCATCTGACTGCTAACCAGAAGGCTGGCGGTTCAAAACCACCAGCCACTCCTTGGAAGATGACTGGACAATCCACTTCTGTAGACATACTGCTTCAGAAACCCAAGGAGGGGTCGCTATAAGTTGGGACCAACTTGATGGCAGTGAGCCATACTAATACTGCCTCATTAATACAACAAAGACAGTCCATTCCCAAAAGGGACTAGAACCTTGGGCACAGGAGTCAGGGTTTATGACATACATTTCTGGGGGACATGATTCAATCCCGAACAGTCCACATTCCAGGTTCTGCTGAGTGATTTCCAATGTGTGCCAGATCATCCACGCCTCGTAGTCTGGCCCTCTGGTGTGTAGAATCACTTGCACCCAATATCTCGCTACAATTTACTAAATGTATCCTTTTCTGCTGTACTGTCGTGTGCGGTCAATTCAATTCAGACTCACAGTACCCTGCAGGACAGAGTAGAACTGCCCCATAGGGTTTCCCTAGGCATACTCTTTATGGGAGCAGATCACCAGGTCTTTTCTGCTGGTAGGTGTGAACCACTGACTTTTTCAAGCACTTAACCATTGTGCCACCAGGGCTCTTTAGGTTCCTTGATATACTGGAGACGGGGCAGTCGCACAGAGAAAATCTGGAGCAAAAAAACTTACCTACGCGGGTAACCTACTGGACTCCTTCCATTCTACTACTGTCTTTCCCTGTAACACCAATAACCTAATCTGAATACTTTAGCTCTATGTGCTTATTTGTGACTTGGTGACAAGTAACAATTCCTTTAATCAAAGAAGGCTTAAGTAAAGAATGTTTTAAAAAGAGTGAAGGGTGGCTAGGAACCACTGGCCCATCTCCAGTACAATCAGTTCGTTGATTCATCTTGGAAGTATCTCTCAAAGCTGTCTACTTCTCTCCATCAACTTAATCTTGGCCACCATTATCTCTAATCAGATGACTGCAGCAGCCTTCTAACCAGTTTCCCTGCTCCATCCATTCCTTAGTTTGATGCCAGAGAGAGCCTTTAAAAATACGTTCTTGTTAGTTACTATGGAGTTGGCTCTGACTCACAGTGATCCCACATACAACAAAACACAACACTGCCTGGTCCCGCGCCATCTTCATGATAGTGGTATTGGTCACTGTGCATGTAGGCAGAGTGTCTTCCAACCTGGAGGGTCATCTTCCAGCATTACAATGGACAATGTTCTGTTGTGATCCATAAGGCTTTCACTGGCTAATTGTCAGAAGCAGATCACCAGGTCTTTCTTCCTAGTCTGTCTTAGTTTGGAAGCTCTGCTGGAACCTGTCCACCATGAGTGACCCTGATGGTATTTGAAATATTGGCATAGCTTCCACCATCACAGAAACACACAAGCTACCACATGTCAACAAACATACATGCAGGTGGTACTTTAAAAATATACTTATGCACTTTTCTACTTAGAATACTTCAGTACTAGCTAATTGCCTTTAGAATAAAATTAAAAATTCTTAACAGGGTCTCCTGTAGCTCTGAGCCTTCACAAATGCTATTTCTCAGTATAACCCTCTTTTCTTTCCCATCAGCCTAGGAGCTCCTGCTGTTTTTCGTGTATCAGGTTAAATATTACTTCTTCAGTGAAGCTGTCCCTGATGCCCCGATTGGGCTAGCACCCTTTACTTGGACCTCTGCAGCCAGCAGCACTCTGCACACATCATGACAATATTTCTCTAAGTGCTGAATGTCCGTCGTCTGCACTACGGGAGAAGCTCCAGGAGGGCAGACCTTTTCCGTGCCACTATAACCTTAGCATTTTAGTATCAGCACAGGGCTCAGCACCTAAGAAGAGGTACGCAACCAATGCCTCCTGACTGAGCTTGGGTGGGGTGAAGGCCTAGAAGACAGGGATGGAGCAAGACAGGGGATGGTAAGCTTTGAGCAAGAAGAGGTAGCCAACATAACACCTGGTTTATTACAATACTATTTCTGAAATATTTTTCAAGAAATATAGACATATACATAAACCCTATGTATATATATATAAACAGGAGTCCCTGGCTATGCAAATGATTAAGCACTGAACTGCTAGCCAAAAAGCTGGTGGCTTGAACCCACCCAGTGATGCCTTGGAAAACAGGCCTGGCGATCTACTTCTGAAAGGTCGTAACCTTGAAAACCCTATGCAAAAGTTCTATTCTGCACACATGAGGTTGCCTGAAGATGGAACTGACACAATGGCAACCAACCACATACACATAAACAACCCCCAGAGGCCATGAATAGAAAGTGTATTTTCATAGCAGGCTGAGAGGATTGAACAGTAAGTTTATGACTAGTGGCTGGAACAGCCAAGGCAGGTCACAGCTCTAGAGGACTGAAGGGAAGGGTACTGCCCACGTACCATGCTGAGCCCCTCCAAAGGACTCAAAGACACTGGTTCAACAAACACCTGTTTCTAGAAACACGTACCCTGGACGAAGCAGGGTATATTTTCAGCATATACTGAGAACTCACAGCCAGCACTGGAGGATGGGCCCTGGAAGGCTGACTGCCACTAAAAATAATTTCTGCCCTCTTGCTGTCACTGTTACATTGCCAGTGTGTGAGGCTCACAGGACTGATCGGGCCCAGTCCCTAAGTCCAGGCCCCGGTCTCCTCTAGTCTAGTCTTTTCTCTGGCTCAGCTCGATGATGCTGCGTCCAGCCCTTGCCTTGGCTTCTGAGGCCCATTACATCTAGTTTCCCCACCCGAAGGTGCCATCTTCTTAATTACATCCCTGATGGGTGTTACAAAATTTCTCAAACACTTTCAGGGGCACGAGGTACCCATGCAAGTTGACAAATCTCTCAGTTATAAACATTTTCCTTATGTTCAACTGAAGCACATTTTCTATTTGGATTTGGAACATGACCAGATACCATTCTCAAAAATACAAGTTCAGACAAACACCGTACTTTTTTCAAGTGCCAGGGAGACTCTGCTGATGGCGAGCTGAACCAACTAGGGAGTCCTGGTGGCTCCCAGTACACAGTAAAGCAGTTAGTCACAAACAGACAACGGACAGTTGAAAAGGAAGAAAGGAATGCAAAGGGAAGAGAGAAATCTTGTATACAAATGGGTTGGGGAGGGGAAAGAAATTTAAGAACATATTCTTAGAAAAGTAGCATATTAATTATGTTTCTGATGTCTTATGTTGCATTTCTTTATAAACAGCAACGTTGTTCTTTTTGTCACATTTCTGACCCTCTGTTCAACAACTGAAAACCAACTGGAGATGGTGGGAAAGAGGGGAAACAGAAAGACAGTGAACCTGTGCAAGCTGGAACCTGTGAAAGACAGAAATCGTCAGAAAAGGAAAACTCAAATATTTTCCATTAACAGAGAGCAACAGAAAAGGGGTAAGACTGCACCCTGTCAATGGTGGAAAAGCGGTCAGACCCAGAAAAACAAGGCAGTCCCGTCAGGTTCCAGCTCCCTCAGGTCTCACCGTACGTGCCAACGCACATCTTAAGGGCTCCAGCCTTGAAACCACCATGGAGCACCATTCTTTTTGAAACACTGGGGTTGCCACATCTTAATCCTGATGATCCTCTTTGACTTCTCCCCCTCTCATCTTTACTGTGGGTTACTAGACCTCCCACCCAGAGAAGCCTCTGGCTCTTGAAAGGCCTTCAAGACCGTCTGCAATTTTCATACTGATCTTCCATGTGTTACCTTATGAGTTTTTCAAAAGCTTCCTTTTCTTTCCGCAAAGCAGTCAGATAACGTTGCTCCTCAGTCGAACCTCCATATATGAGAAAATAAACCCTGCAAGTTAAGACAGGACACTTTTAGGCTACAGACATATCATCTTTAATCTCTGAAAGGGCAGCACAGCGTTGAAATCAGCAACCTAGAGTGTTCAAACAGTAAATATTTGACTGAGAATAAACGGTTCCATTAAACACATACTTATTAAAACTAAGCTGCCTAAACCCCACCTGCTAAAGGCCTCTTTACCACTTTTTTTTTTAAATTTTCTTTTGTCAAAAGGACAGAGTTTAGATATAGCTAGAGAGAGAGACAGAGTAATTATTTTCTTGTAACTATAAACAAATAAAGAACCCCACAGAATTGTAAAGGCTTCTCTTTTTAATTTTTTTTCTTTGCACTTCTGCCAAACACTCGTTTAAAAAGTTGGATGGTTGTAAAAACCAGCACATGAAAGTTCATGTTAGTGAAAAATAAACAAATGAAATCTATATGACGCTTATCTTCACAAGTCATTTCTCAGCCCTTTTATTCTTGTCTCAACAAAACAGTCTTCACACATTTTATATAAACACGGGCATATGGACTCTGTCAGGCTTCTAGAAAACTAACCGATTGAGTCTTTTCTCTTAGAAAAGGCCTGATTTCCTATCTTCTTTGGGGCTAAGAGAGCTGAATACAGCACCTCTTGTCTCTTTCCTTACCTTCTACCCATTCATTTTCCTTTCTCAGTCCTTGATTCTTCTCTTAACTTTCACCTTCCTAGATTATACGGTAAAACCTGTGAGAGCTGGAACTTGGAGTGACTGCCTTGTTTCTCCAGGTCTCAAAAGTTTCCAACTTTTGACAGGGTACATATGGTCTTACCACTTTTCTATCACCCGTTTTAGTGGAAAATATTGAGTGTTCCCTTTCTGATGGGTTTCCACCTTACACGGTTTCTAGCTTTCACAGGTTTTATCGTATTTCTTTGAACTGTACACAAGAAGAAAGACCATTTCTGGGCCTCAGTTTCCCAATGAGAAAGTGAACAGATGTACTGCCAGGTTATATCTGATTCTGACATTTTGTTTCCAAATATCACAGTACTTTGTTCTCAGGCAACAAAGAACTTTAGAGCACACAAGCTATCTACAGAGTTGATCAATAGCTAAGCATGAAAAATTTACTGCCTATAATTATTTTACCAGGTTCACCTAATCTCTTCATCCTGCATTATTTCTGGTCCACCTCCTCCATTCAATTCTCCTTTGAAAGGCTGCATTAGTTAAACCGCTAGCAAGGTTTCTTTTGGCTCTGTTTTGTGGTTCAGGCTGAGTTCAGGATATTAATTCTGCTGTTTATTTCCCCTCAGATCATTGGAGAGTCAGAACACTATATTCTCTGGGAAGCATCATTTTCTTATCTGAGATCTCTGTGGATTTCTCAGCTGATATTTCTTGATACTCGAATAGACTTGTACAATAATTCCCCAAATACTTCAGTTTTATGTGGAAGTAATTTTGAATTACTTCTTCAAATTGTTAAGAAAGACATTTTAGAAGATTGGAGTGATGTAGCCAGGTCACAATTACATTAACTTTTGGGAGAATGTAGAGTATTACAGATTTCCTAGACTTATTTAGCTACAGCATCCTGGGGGCTGCAAACCGACCATAAAGAGTACGGTACAGGAAGAACAGCAAGGAATGAGAACATGAGCAGCTCCCGGTATCTGCTGTTCTGCTACATACAGTATCTGATATCCTTCCTGTGCCAACTCCCTAGATTGACAAGTAAGCAAAATAAGTTTTCATGAGACTTAACCAGTATCACAGCAATGGGTTGTTCAAGATAAGAAAACAAATATGCAACTGATAGTCTCTGTGTTAGAGCCTAACGAACCGTGATAGTGGAACCCTTCAGCAATAGTCAATCTTCTTTAGAACTTGCCTCAGAGGTTTCCCGGGCCTACTTGCCCTATATATTTCAAGCTGACGAACAAACGTTAGCTCAGCATCATACAATACAACATATCTTGGCTCCACTTCATGGAGTACCCTTGTCAGGGCATAGGGGTCACTACAACCTAGAAGCGGATGGATGATGATGAGGGGTTCTTTTAGGATTCCGTACGCAGCATCGGATGACAAGTTTAAATCAAATTCCTCGTGCTTCATTTCTTCTAAACCACTTTCTTGGCTGCCACTTATTTCTCTCGGATAGCCTTCTTCAACCTGCCCTTTGGCTTCAAGTTCTTCCGATTTTCCCATCATCTGAGTTAAAGTCAACCTTCGTTTCTTCCTTTTGAGAGTCCTTTCTTTGGGAGAAACCTTTTCTTTGTTTTGGGGGTCTTTGGGTCTTTTGTTAGACTTCTTGGCCCTCTTTGAGTTGCCCTCCTTTCTAAATTTCAGCCACGCCTCTTCGGCTTTGCCGTCCTCCTCAAAGGTTTTCCTGTAGAGTCTCAGTAAGAAGGCCTCGGCTCCAGCCGTGATGTACTCTCTCAGCTGGGAACACGTTCGGTCATCACTTGCACAGATCAGTACTTGACCTAAAACCAGAAGATAATGTTACACTAGGATTACTCCTTTGCCTCTCTACTGCTCACATGCCCCCAGGACCCTCTCCACATTACCCCTTACAGGATTTACAAACTGTTTAAAAATAGTTTTAGGAGCTTATCAAACACTTCCACCTCTCTTGCAGAGTTACTTAAATCTTTTGAGAAAAACTGAAGCCAGCAATATTTACAGTTGTAGAAAAGTACAGCAATGGTACAATAGAGGTTTTAAAAAAGCTCTTTTTGATTAATAATTTTCCAGAGGATCATATATCCCAATATGCATTCCAAATGGATTATATAAATATTAAATAGTAAATCATTAAAAATAGTAACTATTCTCCATGTCTTTGGATGTAAATTATTTTCTAAGCTTAAAAGCAATGAGAAATCTCAGAGATCATTAATAGATCTGTGTCTGTGAGAATGAAAAATTATACAACATAAAAACCAGACAAAAAACAACTTTAGTAACAACTATGACAAACGTTTCTATCCTTAATATATAAAGAGATGATACAAACTGAGGACAAAGAGTAAATTAAAAAGGAGATAAGACAATTCATAAAAGAGGAAATGCATTTGAGAAAACATCCAGCCTCACTATGCATCAAAATTAAAACCAGATCCACATTTTTTCTCCTATCAGATTGCTTTATATGTGTGTGTATGATGTGGTTTTTTAATTTTTTTACACATATACTTCTTCTGTTAATACAATTTAGAAAACACACAATTTTATGGTTATAAAAGGACACCTATGAAAACAGCTGTTCATTGACATTTAAAATAGACAATTATTCATTCAGTATTGCAGAGTCAACACAAAAAATAATTATCCTGAGAAGCAGATGACTTTGTCTTCTTTTTTTAAGTGCACTTTCTGCCTCCCAACATAATTTTCTACTTGAACATGTGTTTAAGTTAGTTCTCTCTGTGCACGTATTTTAATTTTCATCAAAGGTACAGCTGTGCGTAGTTAACAAGGTCAAATAATTTCACACGGCTTGTGATGAGAAAGATGGCTTTTATTTTTCAGACTAATTGTTGAGGTTTAGTCTACCATGCTAATCCACTAACACACCCATGTTTAAGGAGAAGAGGCCTAAAATCTGCATCTGTCCTCTAAGGCTAGGTTAATGTTATTCCACAGAAGAGGTGAGGCTTTTCTGCAAAGAGCTTGCCGAGAATATAAAACACAAGACTCACTAGCTTTCTCCTTAGGGATTCTAGATTCAAAGCTGGTCAATCTCCATGTATTCACACACATATCTGTCTATAGAGATTAGCTGACTCTTTCAATAGACGTCCTGAGAACCTAACAGTAAAAACTCTACTCTCAGGACTACACAATGATTGTACCAGGAGGTGTCACAGCAAATGAACAGTAAGGAGGTTGCCACTGGGACCCCAGGGCTTATTTGGCATTTCTTCTTTGACATTTATAAACACAATTGTGAGTTATTTTTAAAGCGCTAGTCAAAACGTTCCATTGGGTAGATTTTAAACGCCAACATCATCGTCTCCTTTTTTCCTACCTGGACCACCAAGGGCTTCACTCTCCTTATTTTCTGCCTCAATTTCTTTCAGTACTTCGGTGAGGGCTTCCCACTTAGGGTTGCTTTCGAGAACCAGTTCCTTTTTTGCTTCTGTACAGAAATAAGAGAGTGTCTCATTCTATGTAACATTTATCTGTAAAGTATCCCAAGGGCTTTATTTTATTTTTAACATAATGGATAGCACAAGCATCATTCCATCAGCCCATTCCACTGAACATTCTTCATAATGTTAGAGATAATCTTCTTTCCTGAAAAAAAGGCCTACTTATGGTCTTAATAAAAGAAAAGATACTCACTAATGTAGGTTTTACAATGCCTTGATAGAAAGGCTCTACGACATTATGGCATGGTCACTAAAGTGATGATTCTGTATTAGCTGTCAACTGTCACCTCACATACAGGCTGTCACATAAAATAATCAGTACAGAGTAACAGTATTTCTGAAATCTATAAGCTTTTCATTCTGAACACAGAGTAGACAATGATCAAATTTTTATTTCTATGTAAGTACTCAAAAAATATCATTAATATATTTAAACAGAGCTTTGACCTAGGCAGGAAGCAAGAATTAACCCAATCTGATGCCCTACCAAACTAGTGATATTTCTAGTACCTACTAGATGGGTATTAGAATGTAATCCATTTGCCTCATTCTAGTACAATATTTATGTTCATGAAAAGGTTAGAAGTTATATTAAAAAGCTTTACTTTACGTGCTAAAAACAGTAATTATTTTGAAGTAAAACAAAAATCAATCTGTAGCTGTTATATAGCAATTAAGAATACTCTTGATTGTACTTGGCATTCGTTATTTAGAATTCCCTAGCAATGGATTCTAAGACCTGGCATGCTGGACTTTTAACATACATTACATATGTTACGTGTAATACACATACATGCATTTCATATACAGGTACGCTTTTTTACATGGTTAAAGGATCTTTTAAATTACACTTGACAAGCATTTCTCTATCAAATACTTAATAAAAGACATGATTAAAAACTTAAGTCTACAAGATACCTTGCCCTTCTTTAATCTCTGTTTTCTCAGACATTTTAGTTTTTTTATTCATTTTGGCATCTGGAACATGATAAACCCTTGATCGAGCATTTAGAAACATTGAGGTACTGGAGTCAAGAAACAGCCAACCTAATTAAAAAAAAAAAAGCTTTCAATTTACAATTAATTTTAAACAATCTCTGATGGTGGTAAGACTTACATATACAACTGGCCACCACCTTGCTTTCCTAGCGACCATACCCTTCCCCACTACTGTGGCCCCTCTCTTTGTTGGGCTAGACCAGTGGTTTTCAATGTGTGATACACAGACCCCAGGGGGTCCCCAAGACTCTTTTAGGGAGTCTTTGATGTCAAAACTATTTTCATTATAATACTAAGACTTTATTTGCCTGTCTTTACTATATTGACATTTCCAATGATGGTATAAAAACAATGGTTGGTAACATTGTCGGTGCCTTAGCACAATTCAAGGCAGTGGCACCAAACCGTACCAGCAGTCAATGAATTCTTCACTGCCATGCATCTGTAGCCTAAAAATAAAGTTTTTCTAAAAAGTCTAAAAAAAAGAATATCCCTTATGAAGCAGTAAAAATGACTGTTTTAAATCTTCCGCCTTGAGGCTCTCTCTTTTTACTATTTGGTGTGACAACATGGGAAGCAGACCCAAGGCGCTTTAGCTGCATACAAGTACAACGGCTGGCTCCTGGAGGAGCACTCTTGTGCCTGAGTTCTACTGAACCAGACGCTTTTTTCATGAAACACCATTATTTCTTAAAAGAACAAATGACAGAAAAACCATGGTTATTCAGACTTGGGTATTTGTAAAATATTTTCCTGCAAATGAACAAACTGAGTATTTCACTTCAAGGAAAACAGCTGGCAGTATTTGTTGCCAATTATAAAAATCTAGCTTTTGAGGAAAAATTTGAATTTTGGAAAGTCTGCATCTGCCAAATGTGATGACATTAATACATCTGACTTTTTTATATCAATAATGACATGTGTCAACATTTGGAGAATCTCTGTAACTCAGTGAATCACTGTCTTTCCAAATGACCAAAGCATGATGTTATAAAATCACGTTAAAGGTAAAAGATACATTCACATTTCAAGATAGACTACTGGATTTTAATGTAACAAAATAGGAAAAGTTCACTGATATATTTGCAGATTCCACACTGCAACCAATCTGTAAGAAACTTGTCAAGATTTGGTGTAGTATCAAAGAATATCCACAATTATTTGAAAAAATTACTAAAATACTCCCTTTCCTAACTACATATATGGGCATGAGGTCAGATTATCTTTACATTCTTCAACCAAAATAGTGTATCACAATCAACTGAACACAGAAGAAGGTAAGAGAATCCAACTGTCTTCTATTAAGTTAGACATTAAAGAAAGATTTGTAAACAATGTAAAACAATGCTATTCTTCTCAATAATTTTCCTGTTTTGGTAAATGTATTTCTCATAAAAACGTTATTTTTTTATTGATATGTAATAGGTTTATTATTGCTATTTTAAAATGAATGAACATTTTCTCAATGTCTCAGTTTTATTTCCTAACATGATAAATACCAATACTTATAACTCACATAAATGAAGCTCTGGACCCTCAATAGTTTTGAGAAGGTAACGGGAACCCCAAGGTGGAGAACTACTAGGCTGACCTAGTCCTTCCTGTATGTTTTCCCCATAAATCTCTTCTCTCTAAATCCATGGCATTCTAGCTGACGAGGCCCTCTAGTCCCCTGTAGTTTCTTTAGAAAAAATGAATTCTTTAGGAAAAAAAAGTTACCAACTAAACTTCCAGAATGTAACCTATTCCTAAATTGGAGACTGCCTGAACTAAACAGTCTTTTTCTAGAAATAAAATTGCTAGGAATGGATATGAATATTTATTATTACACAGAACAGAAGTTAAGTAGGCGGAAACATTAGCTATCAATAAAACCTACATCCTTGTGCTATGGACATGAAACATAATTTGAAGTCTTCAACATGTAGTTGAATATAGCACTCCTCATACCTGATTCCCCAACAAAACCCAACACTTTATTCAAATCAGTTCCTAGAATAATATTTATATTTTTATCTCTCACCTGAATTCTGACCAAAAGCCTTCTCAGTTGCTCTCAAAGATTCCAGAAGATTAAGAAATGTGACACAATCATATTGAGAGAGATATTGCAGCAAAGTTCGTAGGATCTTCAAGTCCTGAACCAAGGATTTAGTTTTGGCTCCAAGCTGGTGCCACAAAGGATCTAAGTAGTGGCGGATTGTCTAAAACAAGAATAAAAGTTAACTGCCAAAATGTGTTCAATATAACTACTCTTGATACAAATTATACTTCCAAAAACCAGTATCACTTAAGGAATGGGATAGAAAATTTCAGTTCATAAGATTCTAATAAAAATGTTAATTTTTCAAATGTAAAGCAGAGAGCAACTGCTGGAAAGTTCTTTGATCAGGTAAGAGTCAATTCGTAATTATCCATTATTTATATTATTATATTTGGGAAAGAAAAATCCTGATTAACATCAGAAAATCAAGTACTTGTTTTTTATGAACAGAATGAAAAGCATGTAGCTCAGACACATTCAACTGCTGCCAGGCTTGCCCTGACTCTCCTGGAGGGATGGAAATGTGGGCTCCATGGGAGCATGGAGTAGAGGGCACAGCCCATACAAACAACAGGTGTCAAATTAAATAAAAACGTACCTTACTTTGTTGGTGTTAAAGACTGGTTTAGTGGTCCCTTTTTTTTTTTTTAAAGTATGCTCATGAGTGGGAAAGCATTTGCTAAATTAACAACCGACTGTGTTTCTTTAATCCTCCACTTGTCTGTGAGTTTGTCATACTGTGCAGGC